TTTTTTAATTTTATTTATTAATTTCTTATTATTTGGAGGGGACTGCGTGATTTAAAACAAGAAAATAAACAAAATATCTGCGTTGAACGGCAGCGTTACCGCGGACGCCCCCACCTGCCGAGACTCCCTTAACGTTTTGAGGGATTTTTACTGGACAGGTGCGTTAGAGGATTAAATACAGGCAGTTTGGCGGATGGTTGTCGGTTTCGTGAAGAGGAGTCGCTGCCTCTGCGCAAGGTGAGTGATGGACGCCGAATTGATTGGGAGTATTTCCCAATCAATTCCTTGTTCAACAGATGAATTATTGACAGATGAAGTGTCCGTATCGTTGATTCTTGTGTCCGTTTCAAGCAGCATCCCGAAAAGTTTTGGCACCTAAAATCAGTTAATATTTCTATGGAATTCCTGCTGGGACAGTGAGTGTCAGCAGAGTTTGTAGCAACCTCTGCAAACTTTGAGGTATATTTCTTTTGGAATCTGTAGATAAATCAGAGGCATAGTATTGATCTACATTTCCTCATGTTCAGCATCTACATGCTGCACGATATTACAGTTCCCCTATAATGCTTATAATATGCTTCTGTCTCATTAAAGCAGCACTTTGAGTTATCTATTATGTCGATGCCTGTGTTAATTGCTTTCTCAATTATTCCATTCATTATTTGGTTCTTAAGATGTCAGAAAATAGTGTAAAATGTCCACCACAGTATCCCAGAGTCCAAGGTGAGGTCTCTAAGTGTTGTTTTGTCCGACCAACAGTGTAAAAGCCGAATACATTCAGTGAAGCTCATCCTTATACTAGACAAGGTGAAACCAGAGATTGCTTGGTGTTTCTGCTTAATAAATGACTTAAATGATTAATGGATTATCAAAATAGCTGTAGGTGAATTTACTGGTAATCACCTAGTTAAATAATTGACTAATCAGTTCAGCTCTAGTGTAATTTGAATGAATTTAGAGAAAGTTGGCAACCTGCTATAGTTTGAGGGTACACGCAGCGATGATGAACTTTTCACAGCAGTTCAAATCCGAGCTCTGACCCACCTTCAATAATGACTCTCAATGAAATATGAAAATGAGACACACATCAGATATAATATGGATTAGTTCTGATACTTGCTGCATCTAGTTTCACTGGCTCCCATCCAACTCATTGAGAGCCCTCTCACTGCAAGTATTTGTCACTTTGGGAAGAATGTCCAGTCAGCCTCTTACTGGGCGTCTGAGGCAGGATGATACAAGCTTATAGCCTTAACACAGCACTGGCCTGCCTGTCACCAGGACTGACCAACACATGCACATATATACAGTGCAGGCCAACTCCTAATATCCGTCATTCATATTGTAATGTGTCATGCACTAAAAAAAGTTCAGTAAAGGACATTTTATTTACCCGAAGTGGCACTCACTGTCTGTTCTCTGCCTTTTTATTTCCAATGAGCTGCACTGGGTCTTTTTCTCCACATGCAGTCCAACCGAATGAGCTGAGCTGAGGCTTCATGTTCTGTTTACATACAGTTATTGATCAGCGTGCACTGACTTTTTCTATACTTCAGGTCACTGCAGCAGGCAGGGCAGCAAGGAGCTTGAATAGAATACAATAGTTTAGAGTAGTAACACACCTTACACACCATATTAGAGCTGCAACTGATGCAACTGCCAAATAATCAATGATAGATTAAAATGGCAGAAATGAGCCTATAAGAGGTTACTAGAAAACAAGATGACTTCTTCATGCTTCAAATGCTTGTTTTGTCCAAACAACAGTTCTAAAATAGAGCTGGAAGTCAACTAATTGATTAATTGACTAAACAGATAATAAAGTGTCAGATTTTCTTCTTTTTGTTGTCTTGTGTGATCATAAATTGAATATCTGAATGAATGAATGTACAAATCTTCAGGTTTTGGAGTGTAGAAAATAAGACAATTAATTTAGTAAACAAGAAAATGACCAGTACATTGGTCATAAAAATAAACATTGATTGCAGACCTATTCAAAATATCCATACTGAGTTTAGTAAGACATTGAACAGCAGGAAGCCCCATTTAGGAAGCTGGAATAAGCAACCAATTTTTTAAACATTTTTCCTTGAAAAACCTATTCAGTTATCAAAATTGTTGCTAAATATGAAGATGGTTTATCATTCATTTCGTTGTGCTGTACGTTTTAAGTTTCATAGAATGAGTGGTAACACAGTGAAGGCAATGTTACAGATATAAAAACAATGTAACAGCTTGTATGAACTACACTGTATGTACAGAGCTAATACTAAAGATTTTAAGAGGACCCAGAGAGAAAATGAAATAAAGCAAATTAATTGGCATGCTCACAATGTGGAACATATGCAGTGTAGCTCATGCCAGCTCTGAGGCATCTAAAAGTATAGGAACCTATTTCATTCTCCCTCTTTCTGCCTCTCTGTCTCTCATGAGGTGCTGAACTGCATCTGGGGGAGAATCTGATTAACCGACTGGCATAATTTACCCCGGTCCTAAAGGAATAAACAGAGAAGCAATGTTGTTCTTGAAAAGTGCTGTGTGTCTCAAACACTGAGACACAAACACACAGTCCGAGAGCAATAGTTGAGGAGTTGAAAAGTAGCTGCTGCTTTGTCTTCTGTAAAAGGACAAGCATTCATTGAGCGAGTGCGTGTGTGTGTGTGTGTGTGCGTTTGTGTTCACATGCGTGCAATTGCTCTAGTTTCTTTAAGATTGATAGAGCATCATGTGTAGGTGTGTGTATGTTTTCCTCTAGGCGTGCTCCTTAGCAACAGGCAGCACATCCTCTTCAAATATATTTTTCTCACACACCGTATGCTGTGACCTTTGTGTTGACTGCGCGTGCTTGTGAGTCTTTGCACGGGAGCATCTGCAGCTGTGTTAATGTGCGTGTGTGCTCATGTACATCAGTGTGTGGGCCATCTGACCTTTCTTAGTGTACATTCATTAATAGCTGCATAATAACTAATATGGAACTGCCCGCTGTGCGATCAAGATATTGAATCTGTCTGTCTCATAGCAGCATCAGTGCAGTGCCAACCTTTTCCAAAGAGCTTTTTGTCCTTCTTTTTCTCCCAAACAAAGCAGATGTTATCACAATTGTGCAGTATTGATAATGATTTGGCATGCTTTGAACAAGTGGCAGTTTATCATTTTTAGACTATTTCATGTATCTCTCAGCGGAAACAAAAGAGACATCTTTAATATACATCTTGATACGGTTGTCGTGTTATGTTAATATCAGTGTTAGACTAATAACTGGTTGCATATTTCATATCCGGGAATAGCAGACAGAGCTCTTTAGAAATCAATTTTCTTTTGCTCCATCACCATGTTCGGAAACTGGCTTGCCGCCAGATAGGGAGGGAATGAGGGAAGGAGAGGGCGATATTGTGGGTGCATTAGTGAATGAGGGGGGGGGGATATACTTATCAGATGCAGAATTCATTATTTTACATCTTTGAATTTGTCTAAATAAGTTATTTGCTATCTCAAAACTTCATAAACCGTCTCCTAACCACACTCAAACAGAGGGATAGATGCAAGTTGAAGATTGCCACTGGATTGTACTGCTCATAGCCTCCTCTTTATATAGACTAGGTGCTGCAAGGTCACGCCCTATTTAGTCCATGCCAGTGTGTGTATGAATGTGTGCGCTATCACAGAATGCAGTCATACATATCAGTAGCATATTCCCTTGTATGGATGTGTGTTTTGGTCATAAATTACACAGCACACAAACACAGCCCAGTATGAGGTTCACTCCATACGCTTGCATGCTCTCTTTGTAGATGGGGGTATTGTGTGCATGTGGAGACTATATAATTCATACAACACATTTTTTACCGCTGTATCGTAGAATCTGTTCTGTGAGTGTAAAGGCTGTCAGCCTCTCTCGCCTTTCTCGTAATATTTTTGTAAGAGAAAATAAACAAATGCTGCTTTCTCATTTTCAATTCCCTTATCCTACTCGTGTTTACAAACCATATTATACTCTTTGAATCAAATGGCAAAGGAAACAGAGTTCATGTGACTGAATCAGGCAGTAGTTTGTAGGGTGGTGTGTGGGTGAATACTGTTATTAGAAACTTTATGATTCTTTGATTCTGAGAATTTGTTTTTCTTTTTATCTTACTTCAATTAGAATTATAATAACATAATTTAATTATCTTATTGATTTACCATAAGCTTAATAAAAAACAGCTTAAAGTTCAGTTGCTGTTTCTTGTTTCTTGTATTTTCAACACAGACTTTGCATCCTTTGATACATTTAAAGTCGATTGCATTATCAATGCCATTGATTGTTTCCTCGTTCTTGTAGCTCCGGTTAGCTGGGAGCGCTGTTCTCTAACACTCATTAAAGGGACCAAGCAGGCTCTAACAGTTCAACCCAAAAGCTAAATTCAATTATTTCAATGTAAAAACACTCACACCGTCTTAGAGAACATAACTGCTGGCAAATCTCTACAGTGTGAAAGTTAAGTACAATCAATCCAAGGTCATAACACAAAACACATTGGCAGTTACCTTATTTCATCCTGAACCCGACCTGCAAAAGTATTCCAGTACAGTACACAGTAGGTCATGCAGCTGGCCGTGCACAGAAACAGAAATTAAGGGTGTATTTTTAAACTTTCGTAGAAACACTGGTGATAGAAAACATTGCACTCACACCCGTGCAGAGACACATACCTCCTACAAAAGGTGCATTAATAAGCTGTTTTCTTACCTCTGGCTTATTGTGGGGATCCCTGCAGGCTTGGCAACTTACATTAACTCAAGCAAACATACACACACTGACAGACATTTAAACACAATAGGAGCCCTGTGATTGACAGTTGATCCTACAAGGATATTTGTGTACATGTCCCCTTAGGACTAAAATGCATCATCAAGTCTCAGCCGCATTGTACTAAAAGTATTTATAGACCTGCTTTAAAGTCAGACCATCCAACTTGCCGTAATATTCGTACCGGTCGAGCCTTTTGTTCCACAGAACAAGGAGCTTATTTAACTAATTAGTAAGAAGGAAACTGTCATATTGCTAATTAGCTGTTTGCAGACATATCAGTTCAATAATGAATACAAAGAGAAAGCAAGTGCGGGATGATTGAGAGATGTGGAGAGAGGAAAGTCTTTACAAAGCATTATTTGGCTTGTGTCACTTCAGTTGTTCCACTTATTGCAATTTTATGCCTGATTTCTTTTACACTTCTTATATTTGTTTCCAATATCCT